AAATATGTATTAGGACTAGGGATGCACCGGTAGAGATTTTTTGGGCTGATCTAGATCTCCGATTTTTAAGGAGGCATATTGGCTGATACTGATCTGATTTCCGATATAGCATGGAGAGCTGCCTCCAGCTGATAAGTCCGTTGTGGTGGAAGGGGATGTGGGCAGATCAACCCCCTGCCCCCCCATAGTGAGGGAGGGGGGAGGCGCTGCCCAGCCAGGGCTGGGTAGGGTGCAGGATAGAGGCACAGCTTGTTGGAGGGGGGCAGCTCCCACTGCTACTTAAGCCCCTGCAGGGTTGGGGAGGGGTGCCCCTGGATCTGCATGAGGTGAGCGGGCGGGCTGCAGTTGCGGGCTGCAGTTGGGCTCTTCTTGCTGGGGGCTGGGCTCAGGGCGGGGGCATTGGAGTGGGCTGCACCACCCCAAATTTCACCATAGCTCCCTCTCAGCACCACTGCTGCCTGCCTGCCCAGCACAGCCCTGGCTCTTCCTTGCTCAAGCCCTACCTTCCCCACGCACGGTGCCGGACGGAGGTGCAGGGTGGGGGGTAGCTCCTTCCCAGTGCCGCCAACACTGTGCACCCAGCGCAGCCCCGGCTCTTCCTGGTGCATGGGGGGATGCAGGAGGTTGAGCCGGGGCTGCACTGCCATGGTGATGGTCCTGGGAGGGAGCTACAATGAAATTTGTGGTGGCTGCAGCCCCCTCCATAGCCCCACCCCAAGCCTGGCTCCAGCCTGCAGCTGCAGCCCATCCACTCACCCTATGCAGATCTGGGGGCACATGCCTCCACCTCCCTCCCCCCCACTTCCCATGGTGCAAGCACTGACAGGAGCTGTACCTGCACCCCCAACGAGCTGCGCCTCCATCTCGTGCCCCACCCTGGCTGGGCAGCGCCTGCCCCTGCCCCTTGCTCACTGTGTGGGGTAGGGGTTTGATCTGCCCACCCCATGCCCTTTCCCTCCCCTTTTACTACAACGGACTTACCAGCTGGAGACCGCTCTCCACGCTGCCGGGCTCTGCTTCTCACTGCCTGCATGCTGCACTGTGGTTGCGCACACGCACTGGCATTTATCGGCCCCATCAGGCCAATTTCCGATGCAGCCAATTTTCTTTATATCAGTACTAATCGGATATTGGACCAATGTATCGGTGTACCTCTAATTACGACTTTTTGTAACAGCTTATTTTAAATTGAAAATAAGTCCTTTTCTGTCGTTTAGTTTTATAGCTTCCTTGTGGTATTGTTAGTAAAGCCTTGCTGCTGTTAATCAAACAAGGTATTGGTTCAATCCTTAGCTGCACTAGGTTTAACAACCAGCTTTTAACTGCAACATCCCCAATTCTAGAGTTCTGGGACTTGGTGAATAGTAGTTTCCTATCCACTTTGCCCACATCCTTCATGATTTTATAGGCCTCTGTCATATGCCTCCTTCACCTTCTCTTGTCTGAACTGAAGAGTCTTAGCCTTTTTTGTCTCTCCTGGTATGACACCTGCTCCATACCCCTGATCAATTTTGTTGTTCTTCTCTACCTTTTCTAATTCTGCTACATCCTTTATGAAATCCAGTAGAATGGACATACTATAATCAATGTGTTGTTTTGTATGTTTTAGTTTTGAAAAAAATATTTTTAACATTATCAGTGTTTAACACTTGACTCTCGACTTCTACAACTCGACTTAATGTTAAGGGATTTACTAAAAATAACTATTTGAAGCTTAATCTATTTTATGGGAGAGGTTCCTTTGATATAGCATCCAGGCCTAATAACTGTGTATAACTTTATTTTGCTTTAATGTATTATTGACGTTGCACTAAACTAAAGTTAGAGAAAGTGGCTAAAACGTAGTAAGACTTTACTGTGCTTTAAAACTGACAGGTAAAAGAAGTCCTGTTCTGGGTTCTTAATACAACTTATGTTGCTTGTAGAAAGCATGCTATTTTTAAATTAGCAATGGCCATTCATTTACTTTAGAAACTGCAAGAAACTGGGAAGATTTTTACTACACTGATATTAAGCTATTTTTTCAGATTAAATGTATTTGCATGTTAAGTTTTGATCTGATGTGACTTTACTGAGATAAGCACTTGAAAATCAGAGCCCATAAAAGAAACAGCAGCCCCGGCCATTATCTGGTAAATGTGAGTCAAGAATCTTTTCATTAATTTCTGATCAGGTAATTGTAATGATCACTATTCTTCAAACAACTTTTCACAAAGGTTAGCTTTGTGGGTTTGTGGGTTTTTTTCTCTGTTGACGATACAAAAAACATGAAGTATAAATCATTATTCCTGAGGACATGTAAACAGTTGGTTGGCGTCTAATGTGGCTAACTTTGAATGAAAATCTGAGCTGTTAACAAAGATGTAATACTTATGTGTACTGAGTTTTTAATTATTGAGTGCTTCAAAATATTTGCATTCAAGTTGCTTCAGAAACTCTATTTAGATGTATTTTTTTGCTTTAGAAAGCAAGTATTTTTCTAAGGTGCTTCATAGTGCAGTCTGTGCCTACTCCTGATTTTTTTAATAGCCTTAGATAAGTGTCTTGTAATGTGGGGAATAGTAATTATTGTAATATTGTAGGATTAAAAATCCCTTTTTTATTGTATTATAGGAGGAGGAGAACTTTAAAAAAATCTTCTCATTGCATTGAAAGGATTCTGACTCTACAGGTTACAAGCTGTATGTGCATTCAGTCTGCCCACTTATTACCTATCTTGCCTTTCAGACTTGAAGGGTATGTCTGGACTGCTATTTAGGGATGACCTTAAGACTGTATGCAAGCCCACACCTACTACTGCCTGTTTTGTAAGTCTCCACATTTTACCCCCAGCGGCAATTGAGCTTGAACCTTGAACCGCTGCTGAACTACAGGACCTATGGCCAAGTCTGCCTCCTACTCTGCCTGTTCCTGCACTTTACTTGGATTTCTCCTCTGCTTGGGGCTGCAGCGCACAGGAAATCTT